TGGTCTTGTGCATTTGTAAATTAGGATGTTTCATTAGTTGTTAGTTAGTTTTTAGTGTATTTTTCTTTTATTAATGCCACCAGTACCTGTCACAGATATTACCTGTACTGGTTACCACACGTTGATTTGGAACTGTATGTGTTCACCATGTTATTAATCTTGCCCAGGTGGTAATGCTGATTATGCAGTGGCTATGCACCAGAAAGAACAACTCCATGACAATAGCATGTCAATGATGCAATCTCAGCATTTCTTCGTAGGTCTTAGATCGTTTTTCTCTTTTAATTACGTGTCCTTATTATCTTATGAGTTTACTCTTAATACTTCCATGTTTCAATACCCAGATGGGGAGGTCTGTTGGATTCAATCTCGGAGCAACATATTCATCTCATCGACCTCAGCAGCAACAGCAACATGCTCCATCAGTCAGCAGTAGTGGTGTGTCCTTCACACCTGGAAACAATCAAGATCTGCTGCACGTGCATGGCTCTGATATGTTTCCATCTTCACATTCATCTTATCATTCCCAGGTATGATCATCTGGTGTTACAAATAGTTATTTTTCTTATCTGATTCGGTGGTTTCAAATGGAAACATGAGAGTCTGTTTCATTTTTGCAAATCTAAGTTGTGGTTAATTAGAGATTGTGAAAAGCAAACTAGTTTGTGTACCAAGAAAAAAAAAACCAACACCTGGAAACGTGGAAATAATTGAAAGATCCAAATACAAAGAAAAAAGTGTGGATTTTTAAAGTAACTCCCTGTAGATTGTTTATTTTTTTTGGTATTTTCTTAATGGAAATTCATTACGACTTATCTACATGCGTGTATGCACCTTGGTCAGATGAGCCAGCTAAGGGTGATCCAGAATTCAATGTGCCACAATGTTATTTTGCCAAACAACCACCAGCATTACACGTATGTGTTCCATTTTCTTAACCAGATTTTGTAGTTCGTTCAAGCAGAGTATTTATAGTTCGTTCATCATGCCTTTCTACAATTGAATGAATTCCAGTGTGGGCACTCATACATATTTGTGAACTATTTGAGTTATGTTTGGCAAGTACTATTTGTATGTATGTTGTGTTTCTGGAAATTATAAGATTCTTATAACTCTACAGCTGCTTCAGTTTTTCTGCATCATTGTCTTACTTCCTATTGCAATGGTGTCATGCAATTTCAGAAAACTGGGCAAGAGAAGCTCGAGAAGCAGTCTGGCAAGGTATGCTCACAGTGTACATTTTACCTGTTTTTTGTTTTTTTTTCCTTTTTGCAGTTTCTAGTCACAGTCGTTGCTTTATTTATAGGTTAAATGGTGGAAGTTTTAGTTGAGTTTGATTATTGTTTTGATAGTAGATCATTTTCTTACAGGTTAAACAATGAAGATGACTTTTTTGTTGAAGCATTATGTCAAGATGGAAAGATTTACTTCACCATTGCACTTAGACGTTTTGGAGATGACTTCTCTGTTTTCTTTACTTGTTTTGAATGTTAAGGTTTTAGACACTGTATGAATTATGTTGTAGACGTAATTTAATTGACAGCTTGGTAGATACTGATAACAATTGATATGTTGAATGTTTTTATGTTTTAATTTGAATGTTCTGATTTAGATATATCACATATCTCGGAATTACCATTTATTTGAATGAATTCAAAAGGATATCAATAATAATTTTAAAAAGTTACAACAGTATGAACATAACAAGGAAAAAGAAGTTATTAATCTGTATCGTAGTTATGCTAAAGAGCTGTAAGAGGATGAAAATAACTTTTCTTACACGCTATAATACTTCAATTCTATAGCGCTTTTTATAACTCTCCTGAAACGCTATGTTTTTTTAGGACCTATAATAGCGCCCGCTGTCCTAGCGCTCTAAAAAGCGCTATTGATAGTGATTAATAGCGTTTTTCATCAACTACGAAAGGCCTTTTGTGGTGTAGTGACGCAACGCACCCGCTAGTCGAGTGTAAAAGGTTTATTAATGCTTCTTTTTCTTTTTTTAAATAATTTTAATAAATCTTTCTTAAGAGTAGTTTTTGAAGTGAATTGTGTTGGTCTCCGGATCGAATCCGGATGTGGAAGCGTGGTGGTGCGGGGAAGGGCGGATCGTGTATAACAAAAATTTTCACAAAACCTTTGAGATACACTATAGATTATATTAATTTATGCATGAATAAATTAATCTCATTAATTCTTTTATTAAGAACTCAATCAGAAAAAAAATACCTGGAAGCCGACTCGGATGATAACTTGAGTTCTTTGACCACGAACAGTCCTTGCTCCAATCTTTGTGTTTAGAAAACCAATGT